CAAACTGTAAAGCGACTTTGAGACTGTGAAAAGCGCTATATAAATTAAATGTATCATTACCTCTTCACATCCTGCTACACCTTCTGTGCATCCAAGCAGTAAATGGAGAATAACTCTCTAAAGAGCGATGGTCAGCGATGTTGACACCGCAGCAGAAAATGACAACTTTATAATTAAATGTGAGACTACGGCACCGTCCATCTGTCCATCAATCCTCGTCACTTATCCAGTTCATGTAAGACGAGGTCAAAGGCAATTTTGTCGTACTGTACCTGTGGGAAATGTCTAGGGCTTCAACAATTGTTTAATTATAATATAAAAATAAAATGTCCAATTATATTGAAAATACCCATTTTCATTTTAATGAGAACAAATTGAAGTCTTAAAATGGTCTGCTTGTCTGAGCAAGACCAAAGGATATTACATCTAAAATGATTAAAAAGCAGCCAAACCAGAAATGTATGAAACGTGCATATTTTCTTTTTTATAAATTACTTCAACAATTAATACATTTCGACATTTATTTTGAATAATTCCCTGTAAATAAATTCAAATAAACCACTATTTGATTTGACGCTAAATAACATGGTGGTGATTTAAAGACAATCAACATTAACAATAAAACTTAAAATACAGATTTCCATCCTGCGATCAGGTTGACTGACTGATTGAGCATTATAATTCTGCAGGTATAACATTATTTCTTAGTCTTTAGTGTTGAGATTCAAGATTTGAGATTGAAAGATTGTATTGTCATATGCACAAAGCTACAGTGTAGAAATGGCAATGAAATTCTTCTGACCTGAGCTCCTCCAACAATGCAACATATATAATGAAATGCAAAATACAAAATAAAAAGTAGAGCTTTGACTTGCAAGCCAGGTGGGGGCTGCGGCAATTCACATCTTGAGTAGGAACATTTGAGAAAGGAATGATACTGTCATAAAAACTGCGATATTTAAAGTATAGTTAAGTTAGGTTGAGGCTCCCCAATAAGCTGACATTTTCGCTTAGTTTCTAATACACAAAACAAGAGAGAAAACATCTCCCTCCAGCTTTCCGCCAGCTTAGAAAACGTCCAGCTAAAGAAAGTTCTCTTCAGCGTGTCACGAGTTTACCTCCCAGGATACCTCCACACGAGTCTTCCCACCTCCACTGGCTCCCTTCACTGCACAGAAGAAGCAGCTCCACTCCAACTTTTAGATCCGAGTTCAGGATCAATGAGCTGCTGCACTGAGAGTGAGACCCTCCCCCCTTAGGGACACTGATGTGATTCTTACGCATGCGGCTACATTTCACCAGCAATCAATCAAGTGTTCACAAATTCAGCGATACACATGACCAACCCATGACCCTGTCTGGAAGCAATGCTGACCAGTCTGCATTTTAAAACTCGCACATTGTCTCGAGATTCCCACAGCTCCACAACATCTTGTCTGATATACTGTAGTGTGTTCCTTCGAAAATCTGAGGAAATCAGTACAGTACAGAGATTCTTAATCATTAAGGAAAGCATTCAATGTGATGCAACTATTTATGCGGTCACTATATTGATTGTTTAGCTCTAATTCAGGGAAACATTGAAATGATGGACGTTTGTATGACGAAACTAACAGAACAGCACAAGGCAAGGCTGCAAAGGGAAAGGTTAGGAAAGGAAGAATCAAAAATGTATACCAGTCAACATCAGTCAAAACACTTTCCTGGGTAAACGTTCATTTCATTAAGAATAATGCTTTGTGGCAGAGCTTCTATTAAGCTGCAATGTTTCAGTAGATGTCAGTCAAGCTGTCTTTAATTATGCAATATGGTGTTTGTGAATTTCATTTCCATAAAACACTAACTGATTTGTAAGATAAGAGCAGGTCGTTGTGCATATAAAGTATGTGTGCAAACTCATTATATAACTTTATTTAATTGATATGTATTACATTGTTGTAACTTATATTTAAATTCAAATGAAGTAAAGTCCTTCAGTTGTGAGCCTACATTACCTAGATTAAGAAAAGGGCAAAGAACACACAACCATAGCCTCTTTCCGGTGAAACAAACAACGTGGACTGGAAGAAATTAGGTTGTAAAAGAAAAGGCTTAGAAAAAAAAACAATTTTGGAAGTAAAACTGTGTTTCAACCTGAGGGGAAACAATGAGTTTGTTTTCAATCAGGAGAAAGCGCCACATGTCGTACACTTCCTGTCCTTATGCCTCTCCATTCCTCCTGGTCAAACACACACACACGGACTAGTCTGTTTCTGGAGGGCAAGAAATCCTATTACTGCTGCAACCACCTCAGTGGCACCAAATGATAGTCCAGCTGGGTGCTTGATTGTTCTGACAACTGGCACTGATACAGAGGCAGCTAGTCTTTCTACTGTATGTGCTGCTGAAATGTTTCCTGTGTGGCTGCACTGTGCTCCTGCAGTTTCAATCAAGCATTTATGCTTTATTCTAAAGTGCTGATATCCAAAATGTGCTTTTCACAAAGCAGTGTTCGGTCAAGCACTAGCACCTATAATGTATACGAAACTCCAAAATTGCTCAAGCCTGATTTTAGGGTTCATAAAAAATACAGGGTATAATCGGATTAAACCAAACATTTTATACTTTGTGACAAAATGTTACAGTGATGGTATAAAACAAAAAAGAGGTCTAACAAAATACATGCAGTTAATTCATCTTAGCGAATAACACTTAGTACAACACTTTTGTTTTAATTCCATAACTCTAATGGATAACAATATCCTAGACAACACGAGTAGGGTAATTACCTCCGAATAGAAAGGTCAAGGTTATCTGCAACTATGATTTATAATGGATACAAACTAAAGCTCCTCAAATGATAGACAAGGTAGATCCCAATGACAGACAATAGTTGGGAATGCAAAACAATCCATCCCGCCATGTCCTCTGCGATTAGTTTTCTCATTACCAATGTCCCCTAACCACTGATATCTATTTCTCCCCGTTCACTTTTCTATCCCCAACTCACTTCCTCTCACCTTGTTCCATCCTTTGCTGTACCCTTGCTTTGCTGTCAGAACAACAGTGCAGGTCCAGCTGAAGGCCAGGGGACTGTGTGGCCCTTTGACAAAGTGCCTCTGCCCACCGCCTAATGACTCCTCCGCCACAGGGAGACTCAAGGGGGGAGAAGATGAGAGGGGAGGAGGAAGTGGAGAGGAAGTACCTGTAGGTTTCTTACACTTGCTTGGAAAAGTGTGCGGTTTTTCTTCTTCCTCCAAAGTCAGTAGGAGCGGTAAATGTTGGAAAGCAAATTGAACAGCCCTCTGAGAGGTTTTATTAAATGAATCTAGAGAAAATGAAACGTTGCCTAACCTTTATAAGCACTCTTGTTCTGGAGTTCTTTCTTTCTTTATTTCTTAGACACACTCTTTTTGTCTCCGTCTCGCACACGACATCAATAAGCACCAATGACCATCATCCATTTAAAAACATTTACCCATTAGTGCTTTTACCTACATAGTTTACTATTCATTGAGACCCATGTTTATACCCATATATATTTATATATATGCTGTTAATACTGTATGAACTTTAACTTTTTGACATCGGTCATATGTTTTATATGTCATACTTGTATTTTATTATATATATATAATATATTATATACAGGGGTGCACATAACTGGTACGCATGCGCGGCAACAATTCGAAATGCGTACCGTCTCTTGTGTCACAAAGCGCATTTGGTACCGACGTACTTGTGAAGCTTTTCCAGAAGGCGGTTAGATCACCGGACGACAGAGTCGGTCTCCGTGTGCACAGACAGGGCTGCTGTTAACGTCGGTCTGTACAGCAGCACTGCGCTAAAACAGCTGATCACAACGTTCACACGCTCTGTGGTCACGAAGCT